ACAAAATACAGTATTTTGTTAATTCTAATGGTTTTTGTTAAAATTTTAAACAACATTACTTTCATATCATTTTTCATATAATATTTATGTCCTATCATCGTGTCATATTTTAGATTATCATATCTTACATCTCATTTAGCATTTAAAATTATAAAAATAGCAACAATCAATTTCAACCAATATTTCTTCTAAAAAAAGATACTATCTTTGAATAATTTTTAAAAAAGATAAGTTAATTTTAAGAATACATTTTTTTTAACATATTAAAATCAATTTTTTTTTAACATAACATAATTTTATATTATTATTAAAAATTGGTGTGTATACATAGTAAATTTCTACTTAATGTCTAGTTCAAAAGTTAAAAATTGTGTATGTATATATAAGATCTAGATAGATACACAGATGATTTTTACCAAAAAAAAAAGAAAAAAACAACCTCTAGATAAGCATTGTAGGGGCTGGCAGTTGTTTTCAAAATTAACAGTGAACCATAATAATAATATAATAATAATAAAATAATATAATAAATAATAATAATAATAATAATATGTGTACATTATTTTTATTATATTATGAAAGGATATCAAGGATATCATTAGACATAAAGGGATATAAAGTTTTACTATATTTCAAAATTAACATCCATTTACAAATAGCAATGAGACCGTGGCTTAGTGGTAAGAAGAAAGCCCTAAAACTTTAAAATCTTAGATTCAAGTCTCATTATATGTGAATTCGATTGCTTAATTAAGTTATAATTTAGTAATTAATTATTTAGTGATCTGGATTATATAAATGTAATATTTGATTATAAGTGTAATTTAAAAAAAATCCTTTTACAAATTATTTTATTATATTATAAAATTATAAGGGGAATAAATTTTAATTAGTAATTTTTTAAAAACAATATTTAATTAATTGAGATAGATATGAACCCGAAACTTTAGATCAAACGGTTCACTTAACTATTTATAGTGTTAGATGGACTAATTGCAGGGCAAAAGTTCCTAACACCAATATAAAAAGGAAATTGATATAGATATAAAAAAAATAATTTCTATCATTTAAGATATGATCTTAATTTTCATTTATGTCTATGTTCTAATTATGTTTATTATAGTCTCCAAACCTTTAGCATAGTGGTTAAAGGTGCTTGAGGGGGCATCAAAGGCCTGGTTTCAAACCAAGCCTCCTTTTTTTCCTCTTACTTATATTAGGATTTTGTCCTCTTGATGTAATAAAAAAAATTATGTTTATTATAAACTCAACTATATAAATTAAGAACATAGCTATTTATATTTCAAAAATTTTACTTAAAAATGTACTCATAACACATATACATATGCAATCCATATAACTCTGTGCTAGTATAATAAAACTACATATGGATGTTTGTAAAACAATTTTGGATTTAAAAGGGCATCCCTAAGTTAAGCCTTTTATGCTTCAAATGTTATATTTAAAAATATAATATGTAAATAATATTTCGAAAATTAAGTGAAAATTTTAGGAATACAACACATTCATTTATTTATACTTCAAATTATTTTATGTTTCAAAACCTCTTGCATTATTGGTGAAAAGAATAGTTTGCATTTAAATTTAATATTTTGAATTAAAATCAGAATTAGAAATTGAGTTACATATAAAGTATATCAAAGGTGAACTTTAAATATAAAATTAGAATGCAACAGGCGTTTTTCTGTAAGAATTATTTTTATGAATATTTATGTTTTTATTAACAAATGTAAGTTGAAATAATCAAAAATATATTTTATAAATGATTATATATTGTCATACATATTAATTCAACAAAATTCTTTGATGATTATAGTTTTATTCATTTACCAATTAAAACTAAATATTTCACAATGCCAAACTTAATCTAATATATAATTTTTTAAAACAAAAATAAAATATGCATTTATCTGAATATTTGTGAGATTGTTGACAAATTAAATTATAATATAAATAAAATCAAGAAAATTTTCTAAACATAATAAGTTAAAAACTTACTTTTAAACTATAACTCTCAATCACATATTGGTTAGACATGAAGATAAATATAATACATAAGAAAATGTTTAAATCCATACTTGTAAGAAACTTTTTATGACATAAAATTATGAAACTTTCATATTAAAATGAATAATACTTTATAGGTTGAATAAAAATCTTCACGAATGGTGTTAAAACAATCATCAACTGAAAGTTTAAAAATTAAATGCTACACGATAGAAACTACTTCTAGAACCTTGCCTTGAATTTTAGTTCTGTGCATTATGTGTTAAACTAGGATGTCAATCTTTAACAAAGAGATTATAATACCCCTAATCACATATTGATTAAGTGTAAAGATGCGATATAATATATAAATAAATATTTAAATTAATACTTGTAACACGTTTGTTGTGGGATAAAATGATAAAACTTTCATATCAAAGTAAATAATTCCTTATAGGTTGAATGCGGATCATAAACATGATAATGTTATTGAATAGATTTATATTTTTATTGGTATAATTTATTTTTAGAAAACTATATTTTGTCACTTTCCATTATTGAGAACAATTTAAATTGATATTTTTATATTTTGTATTTTTGACACATATCATATTAAATCATAAATTTCTACAAGAAAGATATCTAAGAAAAAATAAATAAAGAAAGAAAAACCAAAATTAAAAAAATATAATAATCAAAAGATTTCATACCTTTTTCTTTTTATCCCTAATTTTCTTTTATCAAAAATATAAAAATATTTTACTTAAGCGTAAATTAAAAAATAAAGATTAAGAAAATTAAAAAAAATAACAAAGAAAAAGATTCAAAATTGTTTTAAATACTAAAACCATAAAAAGCTCAAAACATGTCTCCTTTTTAATTTTAAAATATCTAAATTTGTTCCTAAAATTTTAATTTTTAAAATTTATAGGCTATATTTTATGTTCTGGTACATAAAAAGTGAAAATGAAACATGCAACATGAAACATGAGAAAACAAATTAAAAAATAAATTTATATTTTCATTTTAAGTAGTTTTATACTTCTTCATCATTTGTCTCTTTAAAAAACAAAAGAGTTCAAAATGTTTATGCTCATTTAAAAAAAAAAAAAGCCAGTTGCTAAATGTACATGTTTAATATTTTTTAAATTATTCTAAATTATATTATTTTCGAAGATATTTTTTAAAAAATTTAAGAATAGCATAATGTTAAAAAATTTTAAAAAATCCAAAAACCAAAACTCTTTTTTTTTTTTGTTTTCTCCAAATTATTTTCTTATTTTGTTTTCTTGTTCTCTTTCTCAATTTGTTTCTTTTCTTAGCGTTTTTGTTTATTATTCCTTTACCTTGATAAAAATATCCTTAAAACCAATTAATCTCTTTAGAGGTAATTTAATAATTTACCACTAAATATAGTATAATTTTATATCCAATTAATCTCAAATCATCATTAACCCAATTAACCCCAAATGATAATTTATGACAATTCTTAATTGTCCAAAAATTATGGTCCAAAATCCCAAAATGAGCAATCTCATTCAATTAGAGATAGCTTTTATATATAAGTATTGATTTTAGAATTATGGTTATTAAATCAGTGATAAATTAAAAAACACATTTATTAATTATATTTCATGTAATAACTTAAAATTTCATTATTGTATTGGTAACACATATCGATCATTGATGTGCCATGCATGTGACCATGTTTTAGTTTTTTAAAGAAAATAGTGAAGGTTTATAATCATACCTCTTCAACCAAGAAAAGTGGCCGTCGAATTGTGGATTCTCGTTGGTCATTCCCATTCAATTCTTGGATGCTAAGGCGTTCGAAAGCTACTATCTTTAGTAAAGTTGAATAATCTGTCTCCAACTTTGTCAACATCGGCCAAACTATTTTGTGTTGCCCTGGATAGAAACATTTGAGCTCATTCAGGTATCTAAGCCTCAGGGAAGACACTTGGGGAAATTTAAACCTAATAGGCTTCTCCAATCCTTCTCCTGCCGACACAATCTCCTCCATCCCACAATGAGTCACTTCTAGAAATTCAAGCTGTGGAAGATCTTTGGCTATGGACGCTGGAAATAGATTTTTCAGACTCGGACATTCTATAATAACTACTTTTCGTAGCTTTTGAAATGCGAGAATTCCATGGGGATCGTTATTCCAAACATGCTTCAGTTTTGGTACCTCAAAAATGTACGATTCTCTTAGTTGGCAATCTACAGCATGTATTTCTTTGATATTTAACCCTCCAACCTCAAATATCTGTTGTAGTGAATCACAATCGTTCACTGTGAGCTTCTTCAGATAGCTGAATACTCCGATTATAGTAGATGAAAAAACAGTCAATAACTCATCACAATTTTTAACTATCATTTCTTCTAATTTACAAAAGGAACCAGCTAGAAGTTCATTATGAAATATCTTCTTCACATTTCTCAAGTGGGAGATTGTCATCCTTTCCAAGCTAGGAACTGCAGCCTATATAATAATAAAACATGCCGATGGTAAAGTTAGTTCATAAAATTAAGGCAAAAATGCAAGGAGAAATGAAAACAAAGAGAGAAAAGAAGTAAGAATAAAAGACTACTAACTCGCCTTCTCATTGAAGAGAGCTTGTATGTTGGATTGATAGCCCCCCTCCATTTTACTTTCATTAATAAATTCTCTTAATTTTGGGCAGTGCTTGATCTTCAGCACTTTCAAGGCTGGGAACTCAATATTATAATTTCCTGAGCAGAATTTGATGAAATTATGAAGATACTTTATTTCCAGGCAGTCTAAGCGAGGGAAACAAATCACAGCTTCCTTTTCTTCTTCTATTCCCTCTGTAGATATTATATCTCTCAAGCACATGCATTCCCCTATCTTAAATTGTTTGAGCTGCACCAGACTTCTAGCAATAGATGGCGATAATAGATATTCCAAGTTGTCACAGCCCTCAATGATCAAGCTCGTTAAATTCGGAATGCCATTACATGCCTCTGAAAGCTGGCTGTGCCATATTCTTTTGGCGTTAATTGAAGACAATTGCAGGCTTTCCAAGTGAGGTAACATAAACTGCATGCAAATACAATTTAAAAAGAAAATAGAAGAGTTTAAAAATAAAGAGTAAATTATTAATTGAATATGTCAATGGTGACTAAATCATTATAATGTCACGTGAATAATAAGATTTAATTGAAAATGAAAATTAAAACATTAATAAATTTTATAAACGTTGGTGATAAAATTATTATTTTTTAAAATTTTTGTCACTAAAATAAAAACTCTTCAAAATTAAGTGACAAAATGTATAATTTATTTTTATTAATATCTGAATTTTTTATAAAATTTATAATGCTACGTTGATAATGCCACGTGCATATAAAATGATATGGCAACACACCGTAGCAAATGTATTCAACCCTAGAAAATTACATCAATCATCCGTTAGCCTTTAACATTTGAGTGACAAAAGACTAAAATTTTGACAAATGCTAATGATCAAATTGTAAACTTTTATAATTAGATGATCAAAATAATAAAAAAAAATAGTAAATACTTAAGTGACCAAACATGTAATATATCCAACAGTCATATCAAATATTGATTCTTAACTTACTGCATATATTGAATATTAAACCTTTAACATAACATAATCTAGAGGGATTATGGACTCATTCAAGGGAAAATAAAAAATGCGAAAAGGCTAAAACAAGAAAAAAGTATATCAACTTTACCACATTATTTAGATAAATTCTTATATTTTTATCACATTCAATTAAGTTTTTAATCTTAAATTTGTATTTAAATAAGCCCTTAACACAAGACATCATGTAAGACATTAGTTTCTCACAATCACAAATGCTAAAGTAAGACTTTTATTTATGTAAAATATCAAGATTTCCCAAATTAAGGAGAACCAGAAAAAATATGTAGTACTTCTTTTGAAATAAGAATTTATTTGGATATAAATAAAAGTATAAATACTTATTTTAATACAATAAAAATACAAAAAGTTATTTAACTAGTGAAATAATTCAAAGGACTTTTTTAATATTTTAGCATGTAAGCAAATATGCATAAAAGCCAAAGTTTTTTTTTTCTTTTTTGCCAATCCATAAAAGCCAAAGTTGGAATATGGAATAATCCACAAACAAACAAATTAATACCTGAGTATTGAAAAGTGGCAAGGGCTCAGAACTCGCGGTTCCCTGCTGCTGGTATGTGAAACACCTTTTGTCTTGAGAGCAAAAGGTAATGAGCTGTGGCAGACCTTCAAGTGTCATGGACTGCAATTGAGAAAGCTTAATTTTCTCTGTTGCAATATATTGGACCTCCCGACCATTTTGGATGTGAAGTTTCTTTAAATGTGTAAAATCTTCCCCATTATTTAACTCAGCAAGTACATTCTTGATGCCTTTAAGTTGATCCAGATGTAAATCTTCAGTCTTGTTCATCAATATTTTTACCCCATGATCCATGTAAATGCTTGAATACAACTTGAATTTCAATGTTCTTGAGTATTCATAGTTTCTGGACCACTCCCACTCATCTCCAATGAGAATCCTGTATCTGTCCAATGCCTCAATGAACAGATGTTTTGGAATTATTTGGGCATTAGGAATATGAGCATAAAATGTGGTCAGATGAGACAAATGCTTTAACTCCTCAAGACTAGCATTTCTCCTTTCTTTGCCGACTACTTCATCTTCCCATTGAACAAAGCTATTGTCCATATATAATTCTTCTAATTTGGTCAAACTCGACAAGACATTTGGTGGGATGATTTTGAGTCTAGTACAATGACTCAAATCTAGCATCCTTAACTGAGTCAATTGTGCTATCTCCTGAGGTAGTGCTTTAATGTCTGAGCCAGCAAGGCTAAGGATTTCTAAATTCTTGAGCTTCCCAACGATGGTTATGTCATCTAGTGTACATTGGTTTAGACACAACGTGTGAAGGTTTGTGAGGAGTTCAATTGACACTGGTAGGGATGGAAAGTGCATTCCAGTCAAATCTAAGACTTTGAGTCTTTCTGTTCGTCTAAATAAGTTGGCTGGAATTTTCACTGTACCTTCATGGGCCATATGGAAAAAGGAAAGAAGTGAACACTCCATCTCCTCCGGAAGCTCACTAATATTAGGATTAAGTAAATTAATCGCACTGCAATTTCTCATCGCCTCGTTTTCAGGCCACTGTTTCAGCACATCACCATTTATTAACGCAAACATGCGGAGGTCCCTATTTGCAATTGATGTAGCAACATACCAAACAACGTCATGGATATCAAACCGTTCACTGTTGTAACTATCAAGCAACAGACAGTTGGCTTTCAGGTTACTCACCACTGTCAATACTCTGTTTCTTGCTTCCTCTATTGTGTGGAGGCCATGAAACAAACCCAGACCGATTATATATTTCAACAAGTCTTCAATCAACCCATTATGGCCTAAGAAACTGCAAAGCAAGAAAGTCAACTTAACTTCCTCGCTTTCTAAATAATTGTAACTCAACTCTATAGCTGAATATACGCCTGCTGTTACCCCTTTAAAGTCTCTTGATGAAGGCCTCTTTAGCTCGCACAAAGCACTCTTCCATTCAAACAAACTTTTGTTTCTCAAAGCCCTTGCAACTGTTGCAATGGCGATTGGCAGTCCTGCACATTTCTTTGCTACTTCAATAGCTGTAGCCTGTAAATCACAACTTTCAACACAGTCACCAGCCATCTTCTTAAACAGGTCCCAGGCTTCTTCTTCATTTAAAAGGCCAACAGCAAAATTTTTCTGAGTATCCATCCCACGTGATAGGATATTGAGATCTCTAGAAGTCAGCAGAATCTTGCATCCCTCATGTTCATTTCCAAAAGGAATCCCAACTTCCTCAAGATCTAATCTTGCCCATATATCATCCAAAACAACAAGAATCTTCTTCTCTTTTTTCAATCTTTCTTGCAGTCGAAGTGCCCTTCCTACCATACTCTGTTCCTCAAATCTTAAACCCAATAAATCTGCAATTTGATCTTGAATTCCCTTAACATCAAGGGTCTGAGTTACGGTTGCTACAACCACGGAATCAAATAACTTGCCCTCCTTGACCTGTCTAGCAACTTCTTTGACTAGCGTAGTCTTTCCTATGCCACCCACCCCGTGCACCCCTATAAGGTTGATACTAGCATCTTTCAGCGCCTCCATGATTCCATTCAAAACCAACGTCCTTGACTCGAACTCTTCAAAACCTTTAACTGATGCGGCAATGATACCATGTGGAGCTGCACGAAAAGAAACCCTGTCAAATTTGGCCTGCTCAAGTAGCTCAGCAACAGCCTTCGCCTCCTCTTCAGCTTTCATGTTAAGCTTGCAACGAGTCCAGAGATTAGGACACAAGCCGATGAAACACTTTTTCTTTGCTTTTTCTTCATCTTGCATTACTTTCTCTACTTCTTCAGCGATCTTCTTGTCGACTTTAGTCAACCAGTTGTCAACATCATGTTCGATCTCTTCACCGTTTCGTTTAGCAGCATCAACGGAATGCTGCACTCTTTCTCTCGCATCCTTCAGGCTCTCAGCTTGATTCTTGAGGGTCTGAACCTGGTTCTCATTATTGGAAAGGTATTTGATATGGTTTTTTATGGGAGAGATGGCGTACTTTGCAGCTGTGGCAATAAAGCTAAGGATGCCAATAACAATCTCCATTTTTTCCCCTTTCCAAGTTGTGAGAAGCAAACTGAACAAAAACTATAGCTAAAACCAACGGAAAAAAAGGGGGGGGGGGGACCAGAAAAGAAAATTATAATGAAACGACCAAAGAGAAAAGCTTCTTATATACTAAGTAACACCAAACCGAGCAAAAGAAAGCAAATGGCCTAAAATTGGAAGGGATTTTAGTGGCGTACCTCCTGAAAAGATGAGAAAATTTCCTTTCTTCACTCTTACTGTTACTGATGAGAACGAAAATGAGAAGGATTCAGCAATTAATTCTCCCACTTATCAATGGGCAAAGTGATAATTTTGTCTTAGTTTCATAACAGAGTAAAGCAAGAATTAATTTGAGACAGGCAACTCAAAGCGAGAAGTTTAAATTATTTTGGGTGGATGTGATGGCCATCGAAGTGTCTTGAAAATCAATGCGATGAACTGAAAAAAGAAAACATTAAAAAAAGTCACTTCCATAAATCTTAATTCTAATATGTAAACCAACCAATTTGAGAATGATTGGACCGTTAAGAGGACTATTTGACTAATTAGTCATCACGCTAAAGGTTCAAAATATATATATTTTTTTTAAAAATTTATATAATGTTAACAACGTGTAAAAGATTACCAACGCGCTAATGACTTGTTTCCTGAAACTATTTGAATTATACGAACTTGTTTTCGAGAGTCGAATTATCTAAGAAGCAAACTTCTTTGTAACATGACATATTTGACCGATAGAAAAGTGTAAGCTGTTGGGTAAAGCTTAATCATATAAACACGTCAATCTTATGCAATTATTGGGTTTCTTGTCATGTTAGTGCAAAAAAAATTTAAAAATATTTTTAAAAAAAAGTCCTAAACAACATAAAAATTAAAATAAAAGAAAAAAATAAATGAAGTATGAAATTTTAAAAAAAAATCAAAATTTAAAATATGAAAAAAAAACATTTTAAAGAAATTAAAATCTTGACTTTTTAAAAAAAAATCAAAATTCTTCAAAAACTTTTTAAAATTTTAAATTTTTGAATTTTTTAAAATAAATTCAAAATATAAAACAAACAAAATAGAGGAAGAACCGAGGAGAGAGAAAGGGAAGGGAAGAAGGGAAACGAGAAAAGGAGTGATCTGCCCTCGATCGTTTGGTCTGCGATAGCTCAAGGCTGATTGGACATGAACCAGAGAGATCGACTTCAATCTACCTAATATAGGGCAGATCAACCTCGAACAATTACCCTAAACCGATCGGTCCGTCAAAACCTCCCCTCTCCCATCTCTTTCATCTCTCCCCTTCCCTCCTTCCCATATTTTCTTTCTCCCCATTCTCTCTCTATCTCTTTTTCTGATTTTCTTTTTTAATTGCAAAATTTTTTTAAAAAATTGAAATTTTTTTCTTGAATTTTTTTATCACATATCATAATTTTATTGAGTATTTTTCTTCGTTAGTCCATTAACTAAAACTATTAGTTGAAAAGAGCAAAGTATGTAACGGAAGTAAGTGGTTTTTTTTAGACATCTTATTGAAAAAGTGGTAAAATATGAGAACCAAATGTGTATTTAACCCAAACCTTTAACTTTCCATACATTTTTCGGGCTGGGCAAAAACATACAGCTATGTCATTCTTTTTTCACATTAACTGAAAGTATATGAGCTTATTCGAACATAATGAAGCTTCTAAAAGAATATTGTTTGTGTAGGATTAAAAAAAAATGTTATAATAGAAAATTATATCGTTTGACGAAGTTAATACTAAACGATTTGTAAGAAATAGAAAAATTGTTTTATAATAAATTTATCTATGAATGATAATGAGGAAAAAAATTGTAAAATTAAATAAGTGGATGCAAATTATTTCATTCGTTTCGTTTTGTATTTTTAAGAAAAATTAAGGGGTAAAGTGAAAAAAAAAAAAGTTTCATTAAGTAACCTCTAAAGGAGACCTTCTGAAGAAGGATTACATTATTTTCAGTATCCTTCAGTCCTCATCCTATCCTAGTGACGCTTGCTGCTGCGGTGACAATAGAGCTAACAATACCAATAACAATCTCCATTTTTTTTTTTTGTTCTTTTCTATGTTGTGAGAAGCAAACTGACTAACAAAAACAATAGGTAAAACCAAAGAAAGAAAGCAAAGGGCCTAAAATTGGAAGGGATTTTAGCGATGTACCTCAAAAGATGAGAAATTTTTCCTGTCTTCAACCTTACTGATGAGAACTGAGAAGAGAAGGATTCAGCAACTAATTCTCCCACAGCAAAGTGATAAATTTCTTTTAGTTTTGTAACAGAGCAAAGCCAGACTTTTTTTGAGAAAGGCGACTCAAAGCAAGGAAGTTTCAATTATTTTGCGTAGATGTGATGGCCATCGAAGTGTCTTGAAAGTAAACGCAAAGAAATTGCAAAGAAAAAAAATTAGAAAGAAAAAGTTACATCCACAAATCCTAATTCTAACAAATGTAATTAAATTAAACAATTTTAGAATGATTGGACCCTCAAGAGCATTATTTGCGTTAATTAGTCATCATGCAAAAGGTTCAAAATATTGTTTTAAAATAATATTTTTATTTAACGTCAACATCACTGCCAAAGATTACCATTACCAACGCGCTAATGAGTTGTTTCATTGAATTGTTGAAGTACATGCAGTATCCAGTAGTAGTTTCACCGAAAAGGAAAGCTTGTCGCGGATCAACAATAAATAAATAAATAAATACAATGGAATGCAAAAGAAGAAATCTTTATATTATAATATTTTTCTTAATTTTATATTTAAAAATAAAAATTTTTAATTAAATATTTAAATTTATCTTCAGTAAATCAAATTACTTTAAAAATTAACTCCGTTTATATTTAATCAATAGCAAAATGTTGACTGTTAGGTAAAACTTATCTAATATGCCAGCATCACATTATTCCTGAGTCTCTTAACAAATTAGTAGTAGAAAAGTTTTTAAAAAATAAAAAATTAATTTTTAAGAAAATGTCCCAAAAACATAAAAATTTAAAGAAAATGTGAAATTTAAAATATAAATAAAAAACAATTTTAAGAAATCCAAATCTTCAAAAACTTTTTTATTAATTTTAAATTTTGGATTTGTTAAAAAAATTAAAGTTAAAAAAATTCTAAAAAAATAGAAATAGAGCCAGAATTTGGGGATTAGAGAAAGAGAAAAGAAAGAGGAAGGGAAGGGAAGGGAGAAGATTGACTGGCCCTTGAGTGGTAGGTCTAAGATAGGTAGAGGGTGATCTGACCCAAATTAGGCAAATCGACTTTGATATGGCTGGCCACATGTGTGATGATTTTCCTGATTCCGGACAAATAGATTTTGAGTACTTATCGGCAGACTATTGACTAGTTGATCGGTCAATTAGTTCCTCTAAGGAGTATAAATAATAGGTCAATCCTCGCAAATTATTTAGACTCAATTGAAATATAAAATTTAAATTTAATTCGATCATTGTTGAATTAAGTTTGAGCAGTTCGATTTATTAAGTAAGTCGAGTTTGAATGTTTTAATATTTAATTCAAGTAATTTGTAAATTTAATCGAATTTTTTTTATTTCAATATATTCTTACTATTTTAATTAAAAAATTATTATTTTATCCATATATATATCAATTCGATCTCAGTTTAAATTTGAATACAAATAATTGAGTTTAAAGTTGAATATAAAAATTAAATTTATTTTTTACTTGATAAGTGAACAAATTTAAGTAGTTTGATTTTTTACCTCGAATCAACTCAAATTTGAAAATTAAAATTTGATCAAGCTTAAGATGAATTTTGAGTTGAGTGCAAAATTTTCGTTGTATCAACTCGGCTTGACTTAACTATGCCTTAAGTTCCACCTCCTCTCTTGCCCTGCATCTCTTTCTTTCTCACCTTCCCTATTTTCTCTCTCCGGATTCTATACTTCTTTTTCTTTTTTCTAATTTTCCTTTTTTTTTTCTTGAATTCTTTTAATTTTTATTTCAAAAATAAAAATAATGTATCATTTTTATCACATATCATGATTTTATTAATTGTTTTTGCCACGTCAATCCTAAAAAAAGGTAAAGTATGTAATAAAAGTAAAGTTTGAGTGTCTAATTAAGAATTTTATTCTCTTAATGCCAAATTAAAATATATATATATATATAGTATGGGAACCCTATTCCAATGAAAATGTCATCTTTTCCTCCAAAAAGTTGTATAAATCACATTCTAATGACAATTACATGTTATTTTTAATAAAACAAGTCTATTAAGGGATAAGGTTTATCAAAAATAAATTAATAGTAAGTTGATAGAAGCAAGAGAGTCATAGCTTCAACCAAGAGCAATAAAAAAGCTAAAAATTTTCTATTTGTCGCAATTTGCCGATGGAATGCGATGTGTCAACAACTTCTTGCTTGAAAAATATTTATTAAATACAATTCATTGTAAGTCCCTTAGACACTTGCTAATTTCTTCTTTTAATAAACTAACAAAGGTATGTTATTTTAATTAATTGTAAGAAAGATTCAAAAAATGCACAAAATCTTATAAATTTAATGTAATCCATGTGGCCGCATGATTCTTTAGGCCTTGTTTAAGAAAATTTTAGGAAAACGATGAATTCTAGAAAATTATTTTTATTTTTTTTTAATTTGAAGTGGAAAATGTTAAGGAAATTATTTAAGAAAAAGATAAAGGGGAATTTGTACTCTTGATATTAGGAAAAAGGATAAGAAATATATTATGACGGAGAATTTGAAGTAACTTTTTTCCATCAGTTATTTTTAAAGAAATGAGAAAATAGAAGAAATTGCCTAGGAAATTTCAAACTCAAGGACCTAGTGTCATTTTTTCTTTTTGCGTGTTTATAACTCGATCTTTTATCCACTAGAGCCAAAATCATCGAAGAAAAGAAAAGGAAAACTATCTTCATTTTCCTTGAAATAATCGTAAAACTATGTATGTCACATTGAAACGATAATTACAATTTGTTTTTAATACAAAAAATCCAATAAGACTAAGGCTCATCAAAAATAAATTAAACACTAAGTTGGAACAGATAGAAGCAAGAAGAGTGACTCTAACCCAAGAGCAATAAAAAAAAAATGGCCAAAAAATTTGTCATTGTTGGCAGTCGTCGATGGAATGGCCATGTGCTAACAACTTCCTTGAAAATATATAATTGGTATCAAAATGCAAGGAAAATTTCTCTTTAAAATTTCTTGGAAAGAGGAGGTGTAGAAACTTTTAGTCTCGTGTTTACCATTTATTGCAAGTGATTTGTTGAATTTTATGTTAACAAATTTGGTTAAATTAAATAATATTTTTTATTTTTTGTGGATAATTATTTGATATGTAATATAATATACTAAAGGAAAAATCAAACTTACACTAAAAAAATTTCTTACCATAAAAAGCATTATTTGCACTAATTAATCATTATGCAAAAGGTTCAAAATATGTTTTTAAAAAAATTTATTTAATATAAACATCACTGTCAAACATTGCCAACGCGCTAGCGGCTTGTTTCCCCGAACTGTTGAAGTGCTTCCGATGGCAGTTTCACGAAAAAAAATATAAAAAAAAGGCGGTGGTGCCAAAACAATAAATAACGAAGACCAAATTACGCGATTAATCCGAAGTTTTCCATTTAGTTCATTTTTAATAATTCATAACAATCTAATTTTTATATTATTTAAATGTGATAATATTAATTTAATTATTAACTTTAATTAATTGATGTGACCTTTCGTTTTGATGACGATCAACAGAATTTAATGAGTGGAATTTTTAACATGCGTTAAAAATTGTCCCTGTTAAATTATCATTTTTTAATAATAATAATAATTAACTCATTTAATCGCAGAATATGTGGACATCCTTGCCTCCCACAGACAGAAATCCTCCTGCGCTTATAGAACCGGATAAAACCACTGCCCTCCATTTTCTTCTCTTGAAATTGGTATCCTCAACTGAGCACTCTGGATTGAATTCGCTGTCACATGGTTTTCGTTGCTACTAATTCTCCCACCTGCATCAATCCTGCAAAAAAATCAAAGCTATTAATGATAGCAGCATTAAAAACAATAAGTTTGAACAGAGAATAGAATGAACAACATGCAAATTCGAGGATAAAAAGGAGGTTGTTCATATGATTCTAATCAAGGATTGGAGGATTTCACGGAACGAATTTTCCTTCAACATTAAAGACACATAAAAACTCGCACTGCTCAAAAATAGATAATCTTCATTATAGCCTCAGTCATGCGTTTCCAGTTGAGTAAGAATATTTCGGTTTTCTAAGGGTAGGGATAGGGGAAATCAGGAAGAAGAACATTCGGTTTTTTTTTTTTTTTATTAACTTATTATGAAAAATATATATTTTCGATTTTTTAAGTATTATTCATTAAAAGATACGTCAGCTTGATATTTCTGTGAGCAATATAAATGTTAATGCTATGTGTTCAAACAAAATTCCCATAATTAATATCTCCTTATCAAATTTTATTGATGTAATGCAATCAATTTATCAAATCAATAAAATTAACATCGAAGATCACTTCATCTGATTTAGGAAAGATTAAATGACAAAGCTCAGGATGATCAAATTTTACGAGAATTAAATTTTTATAAATTATATTAAAAAGATTAAAGTTTAAATTGTATGTAATTATACAAACAATTGATTAATTTAATCAAATTAATAAATAAGAATGGAATGCAAACAGAAAACCTGTTTACTTAGATTAGCATTCATTTATGTACTGTACCGCTTTTTCTAATTTTGTATTTAAAGGATAAAAATTTCTTAATTAAGTATCATCACTTACGTTCTTTAAATTCAATTACTTAAAAAGAGAAAAGATTGTATAAAATATTATACTCACATCAGCATGCAAACTTTTTAGTCAAATAATCTATTACATTAATCATACTATTAAAAAAATAATTATTTATTGATTAATTGACCTAATCTATTGAAATAATACCTTATTCTAATTATCATATATGATTGTGTAATAAAATAATTAATTTTTTAATAAGTACTTGACTTTTATTTTTCCTTAAAAACTTTAATTTAATTTATAAAATTCATTAATTTAGTTTTATTTACTAAAACTTTGCAAAAATTACTAATGCAAAATTTTTTTAACCTTTATATTAAATTTACCAACATTATTTTAACTTTATTTTTGGCAGCACTTTTAAAATGACTTTATTCCCATGACACTTTATATAGAAGTTGCAACTGAGCAAAATAGGCCCTATCTCATTTTTTTTTTTCAGATTAGTTGGATATGTGAGCTTGTTTGACGAGACTAAAACGTTTAAAAAATTATTATTTGTGTT